AGGACATTAGTGAACCAGATGGATTTTCCTGACAATTAGCAATGGTCATCATTAAACTCATTTTTCCAGATTATTACTGAATTCAATTCCACCAATTGAGCAGGATTCAAACCCAGTCCCCAGAACATTACCAGGGTTTCTGGGTTAATAGTCTAGCAACAATACCACTAGGCCATCAACTACCCCTTAAGATCTAGGAGCAGGAGTAGACATTTCAGCCCCTCAACCTGCTCCACAATTTAATGCAACAGGCTTGATCTCCTACCCTATTTCAACTGAAGTCAGCATTGAAACTATTTACTTCTTTCATGGGATGTGGGTGTCCTTAGCAAGGCCTGTATTTGTTGCCCATCCCTAAATGCCTGTGAATTGAGTGGCTAGTTCAGTCATTTCAGAGGGTAGTTAAGTGTTACCAAATTGCTGCTTGTATACAGTAACACGGAGTCGCAGTCACAATAGACTGGGTGAGTGCCTAAAGAGCATAAGTGAACCAGATGGGTTTTTACAACAATTGATGATAGTTTCATGGTCGCCATTAGAGATTAGCTTTACATTCCAGATTTTTCTCAATTGAATGTAAATTCTGCTAACTGCTGTGTGAGAATTTGAGCTCATGTCCCTGGGGCATGCCTGGGCTCTGGATTACTAGTCTAATGACATTACCTCTACTCTTGTGTCTTCCCATCAGTTTTGTTAACAGTCCCACAAAGAAAAGAGGCACAAGCCTGAGGAGTCCTCAGAGGAAGCCGAGTACTCTGAGGATGCACCATAACACTTGAAGCCTGCCAGACCACCTAGAACCTCCTCTCAGTCTAGGCTAATTTCTTTAATTGTATCTCAGACCTTCTCCCTGATTTCTATCCCTCTCACTAGTGAGAGTTTTCATTTAAAACCCTGCCTACGTCCTCTGGCTCCATGCACAAATTACCACTGTGGTCCTTAATAGGTCCTACTCTTTCCCTTATCCTTTCAGCCTTCACGTATCTTTAAAACAACTTAGAATTTTCCTAAAGTTTATTTGCCAACATCCCCTTTTAGCGCTCCTAATCTCCCTTTTAGTTCCCTCTTGCACATTCTACACTCTTATAGGGCTTATGCTGTTTTGAGCCCTCAATATCTGCCATAAGCCTCTTTTGCCCTTAGTCTGATGTTGTATAATATCTTGATATTAAGAGTTCACAGGATTTGGTAGGCCCACCTCTTATCTCTTTTGGAACATGTTGACGCTGTACCACCCATACTTCCTTCTTGACTGCATCCCACTGTACTGAGACAGATTTACCTGAAAGTATCTGATCCTGGTCCACTCTGGCCAAATCATTTATGATCTTATTAAAATCAGCTTTCCCCCAGTTTAGAACTTTGATTTCAGGCACATCTTTGTCCCTTTTCGTGATGATCTTGAATCTAACAGAGTTATGATTGCTAATTAGATTACTTTATTCCATTGAATCCCTACAGTGTCGAAACAGGCCCTTCGGCCCAACAAAATCCTCTGAAGTGCATGTGACCCAGACATATCCCCCTACCATTTCCCTGTACCCTTACATTTTCCATGGCTAGTGAACCTAACCTACACATCCCGAAAATTATGGGCAATTTACCACCTAACTTGCACATCTTTGGACTGTGGGAGGAAACATAAGCACCCAGTGGAAACACATGCAGACATGGGGAAAACGTGCAAACTCCACACAAACAGTTGCCCAGGAATGGAAATGAACCTGCGTCTCTGGTGCTGTGAGGCAGCAATGCTAACCACGGAGCCACCGTACTACCCCAACTGATACTTCAATCGCTCGCCCAACTTTGTAACTATAGTTAAGTCCACAGCCACCTCCCCTCGAGTAGGGCATTCTAAGTACTGGGTTAAAAAGATATCCTGGATGCATTTTAAGAATTCCAGTCCCTTCTGTTACTATCCTATTACTTTTGCACTTCCATCATGGCTGATATAACTATTCACATTCCCAGATTCCCACATTACATTTCACTCCCTTGTTCATTTCACTCCCTTGTTTATCAAGAATCCATCAACCATTGCCTTAAAACTGGCTTTTAAAGAAGAGAATTCCAACAACTTTCCATCGTCTGCCATTGCAAACAACTGCAAAAAAGTGCTGTGACTGCACAGTCCTGCTCAAAAGCAAGTTAGAAGAACACCTGTTAAACTTGTGGAAGAGTTTTCTGGGATTTATCCTCATGGTTCACTGAGTCTACACATGTACAAGCTGCCCAAGATGTACACGTGATGTCCCTTTATACCCTATCAGATGTCTGGTTCTATGGAACATGAATTGGCCAATTTGGTCGAGCTAATTGTTACAACCAGTTCTGAGAGAGGTTTTCACTGACAAAGTAAGGACATGCATAGTGATGGCAGTGCCCTGTTTATGTGTTTGTTTAACATTGCTAGCCAATTAAAAGTGCACCACTAAGGAATTCATACACATTTGGACCACATCATTATCTCATTGACAATCTAGATGTGACACCATTGTCAGTATTCATTGAACTTATGAACTCAGCAATTTGGGTAGTTGAGTTCAGTTCTAACATCCAGCCCTCACTAACACCTTCCTCAGTAAGATCCTGAACAGTTTGGACAAGGTGGATGTTTCGGAGAACATTGGTTTAAAGTTTGGTGTTGCCCTTTCAGCACAGATATGAGGAGAATTTTTTTCTCAGAGAACTGTGAACTTTTGGAACCCTCTGCCTCAGATGGAAGTCCCGGAGGGGTCATTTTTAAGGCAGAGGTAAATAGGTTCTTGTTAGACAGGGGAATCAAAGGTTATCGAGGTAGATGGGAATGTGGAATTCAGAATACGTTCAGATCAGCCATGATCTTATTGAATGGTAGAAGAGGTTCAAGGGGCTACTTCTGTCTTGTATTTCATATGCGTGTATGTTTATGTAATTAATAGAATGAATTTCTTTATCTGTTTATTGTCATAGCATCTGCTTTGCAGGATTCTCCTATTGACCTGGGTCAGTTTCATTCTGGTAAATGAAATGAACCATCTTGATGAGGAAAGACTATGAATCTGATAATTGGTTGAGTAACTGAAGGAAAGAGGTTTAATGGGAGATTACACAGGCATCTTGATTTTAAAAAAAGCTTGTAATGTAGCTACATTTGTAAAATGAAGTATGTCAGGATGAGGTTGTGAACATCTCCAGCAGACAACTCTGTTACTACAGCTGCCAATGGCACACCATATAACTTTTCAATTAGATAAAATCCCTTTGATGATTAAATTATTCCATAGTCTGGCAAGCAGCTTTAACGTTTAAGTGGAAATCAACTCATGTTTTCTTTAATCCATTTTTGTACCTGACAATAATAAAAACCACAATCATGTTAGTGATGATGAATTTATACTGCAACTAGAATCGTCTATTTCACTCCCTTTTTGTTAACATCTTAAATGAACTGGAGATTGCTGTAAAAATCCCTACAGAATTTCTGCCTCAATGTCTGAGGTCCTCCAGGTTGGACATAGTTCCATTTTAGTTCCAGCTGCTTTGGAAAATTATAAATAAAGATGGAAAACATCCTATTTTCCAAAAATGTTTCCTAGTTTAGAGGAATAATGAGGTAAAGAAGGGGATCGTTCAGTTTTTGTTTCAATACACTGTTCTTTCATATATTTTGAAGTTTAGATTGAAAAAGATGAAGATTCAGAAGATCAATGATCAATGAAATATTATTAAAAGTGTAGAAAGGGCTGTGATGAAGCGAGTTTAGAGGTTTAGCTGATAAGTACTTTTAAAGAGAAGATTGTGTTCCCACCACATTTTTCACTCTTTGAATTACCTTTTTCTCTTCTTCTGTTTGATTTCTTTATCTGTCTATTGGACTTCCTGAGCTGTAAGTAAGGAGACTATTTCTCATCAGTTGTCCTTGTATGTGTCGTGCCTGTTACAGTAAAATTGATTGCTGTGATTAGTCCACACCTCCAGAGAAAAATAACTTTTAATGTAAGTTGAATGGTGCAGTGCTGCTATTATTAATGCTTGCACTATCAGTAAAGCAGCCTCCATTTGGCAAATCTCAAAGTACTGTTACCATACTCTGCTGGCTTCCTACATTATAAGCAATTTCCCAAATACATTGTTTTGTTCTTTGTTTGCAGCAATGTTGTAGCAAGATGCACAACATTTGAAGACATAACAGGTGATCTCTTCAATCTCTGAAATCATCAGAATATTTGGCTTTAATTTTACCATTTTGGTACTTATGGCAGTTCATATTATTATGTACCTAGCACAGAAAGAAGTCATTCAGCCCATGTGCCTATGCCAGTTTTTGAAAGAACTGTCAAATTATTCCTATTATCCTGTACATTCCCTATAATAGCACTTTTCCCTTTTACACAGAAGCATCAAAATTCCCTTTGGAAGTTACTATCAATTCAGTTTTCATTATTTTTCAGAAAGTACATTCAAGATTGTAACTTTTGCATTCAGAACATGAATGCTAATGACAAGACAATTACTATCCATCCATGGTTCCTTGTTACCTAACAATCAACTTCATCCCCTTTTCTTAAGGATGTTTGGTAAGACCCTTAACTACCAGTGCCGAGAGCCATTGTTATGTTGGCTTTTCTTTGCACCTGTTGTGTTGTAGCTTACAGTAAGGGAATACTTAATGCACCAACTGCTGTGGAGTGTCTTTTGAATTTCAATTTTGAAATGCTATTTATGAACCTCTAGGTCAGATCTAAAGGCAATTTTTATATGTTTTATATTATATTATTAGGACTTCAATTTGTTTTCAATGTAATTGAAATCTGACTTGAAGCAATATTTCATGTTAAATATTAAAATGTATATGTCAGGGCTGTGCTGTCTCTCGAGCATCATGTTTATGTGCATATGCCAATCAATGCCACTGATCTTGAATAGAGGTTTGGTTGTTGCCCTTCTGGTGTATTCTGTGAGGCTTTTATGCTTGATAAGAATATGCAGTTGATGTAAGTATTGTTTGGCTTTAGGAAGGAACAACAAAGATTGGGAGAATTGATGCTGAGACAGAACAAGACATTGGTAAGTGCACAACAAATAATTAAAATTTAGTTTCTGACAATGTGATAGGGTAGATTATAGATTTAAAAAATCTATACAGTACAAAATGAGGGGCCATAAATAGGAGTTTAATTTAGATAAATGTTAGGTGCTGCATTTTGGAAAGGCAAATCAGGGCAGGACTTATACACTTAATAGTAAGGTCCTGGCAAGAGTTGTTGAACAAAGAGACCTTGGAATGTAGATTCACAGTTCCTTGAAGGTGGAGTCACAGGTAGACAGTGTAGTGAAGAGTGGTTGGTATGCTTTCTGTTATTGGTCAGTGCATTGAGTATAGGAGTTGGAGGTCATGTTGCGGCTTTACACGACATTGGTTAGGCCTCTATTGGAATATTCTGCTCTCCCTGCTATAGGAAGGATGTTATGAAACTTGAAAGGGTTCAGAAATAATTTACAAAGATGTTGCCTGGGTTGGAGGTTTTGATCTTTAGAGAGAGGCTAAATAGGTTGAGGTTGTTTTTCCTGGAGTGTTGGATGCTGAGGAATGACCTTATGGAGGCTTATTAAATCATGAGAGGCATGGATAGGGTAAATAGACAAGGATTTTTCTCCAGGGTGGGGGAGTCCAAAGTTAGAGGACAATAGGTTTAAGGTGAGAGGGGAAAGATTTAAAAGGGATCTAAGGGGCAACATTTTCACGCAGAGGGTTGTGCGTGTATGGAATAAGCTACCAGAGATGGCGGCTGCTACATTTACAACATTTAAAAGGCACCTGGATGGGTATATGAATAGGAAGGGTTTAGAGGGTTATGGGCCAAATGCTGGCAAATGAGAGCAGATTTATTTAGAATATCTGGTCGGTGTGGACGAGTTGAACCAATGAGTCTGTTTCCTGCTGTGTATCTCTATCACACTATAAGATATTCAGTAATCAATGCTGAAGAGAGTTCAGGATAAACTACTTTATTCAGAGAGTGATCAAAATATAGAATTTGCTACCACAATGAGAATTTGGGATGAATCATTTACATGGATTTAAGGAAAAGCTAGATGAAGACAAAAGAGAAAAAGGAATAAAGAGGTATAAATGGAAAGGTGTGGGAGGAGGTGCATATGAAGCACTGGTATACATCAGTTGTGCTGAATAGTTTGTTTCTGTGCCTTACATTTCATTTAGTGCTATGTAAAAATTAAAAAAAACAAAATAATGTAAGTTTAGGCACAAATTTACTGCTATATCTAGATTCCTTTCAAAACAAAAGAAAGCTAATTGAGAATGTTAACTTTGTCCTGTACCAGTTTGGACTCGGGGCAAGGGGTAAGAAAGAAATTCACAGGATTGCTGAATTTAGCCAACAAAAGCCCCCTGTAAATGACCAGTTGTGTAGCTTTAATTGGCTGAAAAGTAATTAAAGTTTATGAACTCTTGCAAAATGATGCAAAACGTTTCACTGGGAGGAAGCATATAATAATTGTCTTTATTTTAGTTCTGCAGGGTCCTTGGGTGGAGTCAGAGCACTGTGTCATTCATAATCACAATGGCATAGTCACAATTGAACCAATTGGAGGGTCACAGTGCTCTGTTAATGAAGTGGACGTCACTCATTCATGTCGTTTGTTCCAAGGTAATTACTTTTTGCTTTTATCATTAGTCCAACAGTGGTGGGGGGAGGGGAGGGAGGGCAGGGCTAGTGCCTCCTGTACATAATTACTGTTCCCCAGTATGTTCCTTCCTCAACCCTGACCTTGACCCCCTCTCTAAAGGCTAAAGTGATAAAAAGTCTAAATATTTAGTGTTTGAGAAGCTTAAAGGGCCTGTCCTGATCACATTTTTTTTCTGCTTAAGACTTCTACAATTTTTTCCTAATAGTGATACAGGTATAGACTCTGTTACTTAAAGCACAAGTAGCTAGTAGTTAACTGAAGTCAGCCACTGCAATATAAAAACAGTCAGTGCTTTAAATAACAGGTCTTTGCTGTGAAACCTTTTCCTGAAATTTCAGGGAATGAAATGGAATTAATGAAGCCTTCTAGTCCTTATTCTGTTTCTCCATCCCACACTGATGAAGAGATTCAGTTGGGTAAATATGGAGAGGCTGTGGAGGAAAATCCAGAGCAAGAGGTTGTATCTTGAAAATTAGAACTAGACATTCAGGAATAGTGTCAGGATGAACTCTGATCTCTACAGGCAGTGGAAGTTATAAGACTTTGCTCAACAGATTTTTGTTGGGTCAGGGCTATCCAGGTGACAATCGAACTGAAAGCCTAAACAGGCTCAAATGGCTGATTCACCAGCTCCAGTCAGTTAATTCTTTCTCACTTGCCTCTTAATCTCATTCATCCTCACCCAAATGCCTAAACCTGTCCTCTCTTGATGTTCCATCAATCTGGTAAATCCCAGATCCACTTACCTGAACAATTTAACCCTTATTCCTGCCATTGCAAAGAGGCCCATTACTGCACAAAACTTGCCACCATTGTAGTCTTCCTGACCATGTTGCACTGTATCATGGAACTGGACATCTCCCTCCACTGTTACTTAACCATTGGTTTGCTCATCCTATGATTTGCTCCTTAACGCTTCAGCATTGTAGGACCAATTCCTTTATGCTCCTAGCACCAATTATCTATTTGTATTACATACAAATGTAAAATACTAAAAAGGTTAACAGTAAATACAGCTATTTAAAAATGACTCAAACTGTCTTGTTCTGGATCATTTTGCATGAACTTTTTTTTCTTTACAGTGAGTTAATCATGCTATATATTGCCCACAGATCTACAGTAACAGAGTCTATTACTTATGAAACTTATTTAACATGATTTAATTTATTTTACAGGTGCTGTTATAGTCCTCGGAAAAGTGCATAAGTTCAGGTTTAACCATCCAACTGAAGCTGCAAAGTTGAGACAAAGGAGAACAGTGAGTTTATAACTTAATTATGTGTGCTTAATTAATAAATGTTTTTGTAGTTTGCAATGTAGCAGCCCTAATAATTCCCTGATTTGTGGTAATTAACCAACTTGGAGTGGATGAGATTTGCATTATCAATCACTGGCAATCCTGCTAAATATTTTACCAAATTTCAGAATTGTTACAGCACAGAAGGAGGTAATTTGGCCCACATGTATGCACCAGCTGTCCAACTCAGAAACCTGCATAGAGTATACAACATAGAAAAAAGTCAGGCATACAACTCTTGGAAAATTCGTAGGAAAATCCAAAACATGTATGTCCTTTTGGAATTTGCACTTGGTAAAGTTGGCTTTAATCTGACTCTGTTAGGAAATAAACCTATGTAGTGAAGGGTAATCTTTTAAGATTTCCTTTTTTTGGCTCAATAGTGCTTTGTTAATAGATGGGTAAATGGATGGTTCTTCGGTTTGGGAAGAGGAAGGCATACGAATTCAGCCTGACTGTTATTGGATTTGTAACACAGTGAAATTAAAACATTCAATGACCCTCAGAATTTCTCTGTTGTTCCTAACCAGATTTTACAAATAACAGATCTTGGACACCAATATTATAATGTAAAGAAAAATTAATAATTTATTAATAAGATTGTAACTTTAGTAAAATACAGATAAACTACAATGCAATCTAATTAATATCTACAATCTCAGCTCAGTCTTCTTTGAATATAAAGCTCTAGTCTCACACTGAAAGTCAGACAGAAAGACACCGTTAAGGGACAAATTAAGAGAAAAGAATAAAATGAAAAAAAAAATCACGAGTTGCCAGTTCAGTAACCATTTCAAGGATGAATATGGGGCCTTCATGAAATCTTTGACGACGGATTGTATTACAGACACGTATGACTGTATCTTGCTTCAATTCTGGAGTCACTGGTCAATGCAAACAAGTACCACAGACCTCTGGAGACTTTTACTTATTTCTTACCGACTGGGGTTCTTTCCTGAGAACTTTGAACTGTTGACAATTGGAGAATAGCTACAGAGAGCAAAAACCAAAACAGGTTCCCAGTTGAGAAGCTTCTAAAGCAAAACTAACTCCTGCGCAAAACTCGGTCAACACTAATTTAATCTTTGTTTTCTCTCTTTACAACATCCTCTGTGATTGGCTGGCCAGCATCAGTCCTCCCTTGATTTACCAATTCAACATGGAACCAGCTGCAAGGCCATGGGCATAACAACATCTCAGTTCTGAATCATCTGTAATATTCTTAGAGCAGTAATTAACCTGCTATATCTTTCCAAACCAGCTCCAACAGCAAAAGTCAGTCCTTTGTTCTCTCCTCTTCTTTTAAAACAAACTGCTGTACAAAGATCAGTCTCAATTACAACTCTCAGTTCCAAACCAAAAATGAAATAGAACATAGAACAATACATACAGAAATAGGCCATTTGGCCCACCATACCATTCTAAATTAATCCCATCTACCTACACATGGTCTGTATCCATCTATTCCCTGCCTGTTCATGTGACTAAATAAATAAAAGAAAGATAATAATGGTCTCAACAAATGCAACAGGAGTTTAATTTTGGAATGTGTCAAAAGAATAAGTTGTTTGATCTAGGGAGGGGAACCAAACTGAAGGGTAATTATTAGGTTATGGGCATAGATTTAATACATGGAAGAAAATCAAGCTGATTCTTAAGATTGAGATGCTGGTTTATGAGGGATAAATTCTCGGCACCTACACTTCAAGGACGGAAGTGATTCCAATAGGCAGCTTGCCATCACCATCTCAAGTAATTAGAGATGGGCAATAACTGCTGACCAAGCCAGCAATGTCTACAGCCTGTGAATTACCAAACAAAAGCATTATTGTTTGGTCATGGAACATGGACAACTTGGATCTTTCAAGAAACAAAGCTCAAAACTTTCATTTTTGCTGTTTGTGGCACAGTCTTGGGAGGTTGAGGAAGGACAGAATTCTCCATGAGGGCAGTCTCACAAGGATGCCAGCACCCATCAGGCAGAGCACATTCATAGATTGGAAGACTGTCACATTCTTAAAGAGTTTCTGTCTGGACTCAGGCAACTAGTCGGAGGCACAAAGCTCCACTTCAACGATGCCAAGGGTGACATGAAAAATCTTGATCAGGGATTCTGTGACCTGGGAGACGCTAGGTGATAACAGGAAAATGGCAACTCACCTAGTATTATCACAGTGATGATCAGTAGCTGCAGAAGCTTGGAAGTAGACGCCAACACCAAAAACATCAACCAACAACACCCAATCACCACTTCACATGTGGCACTTGTGGCAGTACCTACCTCTTACAATTGAGTCTCTTTATCCATCAGCTAAAATGCACTACATTGAGCAACCCATTCCCCGAGGATCTAATCGCTGCATATCCATCATCTTACACAGATAGAAGGATGCCCATGGCAATGGGTTTGGAGGATTTTAGGGGATAACTTTGGAACGACAGCAAATTTGTGTAATTGGATTCATGTAATTCCTAGGATTCCAGCTTGAGGCGTCGTTTAGTTATTAGGTGTGTCACCACAGGGTGCACTTCTCTAATTTAGCAGCCTTGGGACTGACCTTTTGCTGGACTATGGGAGGCCATATGTCCAATATATTTCCTGGCCTCCTGGCCTGTGCCATCCCATTACCCTAAGACTGAAGCTTGGCCTGTCTGCCAATTCTCTCTGGCTAGCTTGACATTGGCTGCCGCCACTCGCGATGAGGAGAAGGAGTTGGTGCTGAGGAAATACAACTTTGAGGAGGTGTTTCAGAATACCAACACCCCCTAGTGGAGTCCTGAGAGTAACCAGGAGGAGGGGATCGAACCAGGACAAAACAACTAGCAAATCCAGTCTGTAACCAACAGTAAACCCTATTGGTAACTAGTTGCTAACCTTTAGAAATGAACTTCACAGCTGTACTGGAGGGAATGTGATCTGAACTGAAAGTGCTGTGTATGCTGGACCACAGAGGTTGCCTGTACAAGCTTGTATCATCCTTAACAGTGGCTCTACAGACAAGCAATTTCAGATTATTCAGTTCCTCAGTTGAAATTGAGTTGGTTCATTTGGAAGCCCTTTATTTTCTGGTGAGGCATATTCCATGGAATGCTATTCTTCACATTATTAAATACAGGACTCATGTAACTGATCTCATGATTAGGCATTCCATCAATGAGATAGACCCTAAGAAACCGCAGATTTATTCAAGGTTTCAAATCCATAGGGATTCTGTGCTGAAATGGTCTGATTTGTTTCATTTAGATTTGTCAGAAACCATCCTTGTGTTTTCAGTCTTTTTCCTTTAAATATTCTGACCGTTTGGCAACAATATATGAATTGGATTTTTAGATTCTTGAATGTGATGATGTGAGCAGAATTCAAATGGGTCTTCAACATGTACTCATTTTCAATTTTAAGGTTGCAGTTAAGCAACAGATTGTGGCTAACTCTGAACCGTTCTCTAAAGAAACTTGGAAAACGCTTGAGTTCTGCCACGCATCTGAGCTTCAGCAGTTCAAGAAGGTTTATAGAGTGGCCTTTAGGGAAGGAGGACTTTGCTATTTTTGCCTGACCTGCCTTATATGTGACCCAGCTTCACACCGTTCATAAATGCCCCGATGGCGTCGTAAGCCATTCTCTTGAATGGCTTTTTTCACAAAAGAACCATGGTAATTGAACAAAAGAACAAAAGAGAAATACAGCACAGGAACAGGCCCATTGTCCCTCCAAGTCTGCGCCAATCATCATGTCCTAACTAAACTAAAAAAAAAACCTTCTGCCCTTATTCGGTCCACATCCCTCTATTCCCTCCCTATTCATGTAACCATCCAGATGCCTCTTAATGTCACCAACATGCCTACTTCCACCACCACCTCTGGCAGTGCATTCCAGTTTCCTACCACTTTCTGCGTGAAAAACTTCCCTGGCATATCTCCCTTAAACTTTTCCCCCTCACCTTGAACCTGTGCCCCTTTGTAATTGAAACTTCAACCCTGAGAAAAAGCCTCTGACAATCCACCCTATCTATGCCTGTCATAATTTTGTAAACCTCGATCAGGTTTCCTCTCAGCTACTGTCTTTCCAGTGAAAACAATCCTAGTCTTTTTAAACTTTCCTCATAGCCGACGCCCTTGAGACCAGGCAACATCCTGGTCACCCTTCTCTACACACTCTCCAATGTTTCCACGTTCTTCTGATAGTGTGGCAGCCAAAACAGTACACAACACTCCAAGTGCGGCCTAACAAGGGTTTTATATAGCTGCAACATGGTATGCCATCTCTTGCACTCCATGCCCCAGCCGATGAAGGCAAGCGTGCCATGTGCCTTCTTAATCACCTTGGCCATCTGTATGGCCACTTGTAGGGAACTGTGGACGTGCATGCCCAGATCCGCCTGTATGTTAATGTTCCTAAGGGTTTTGCCATTTACAGTATAATTCACACCTAAATTTGATCCTCCAAAATGCATCACTTCGCATTTGTGTGGATTAAACTCCACCTTCCATTTCTGTGCCCAAGTTGCCAATCCATCAATATCCTATTATATCCTTTCACAATTGATTACACTATCAGCAACTCCACCAATTTTCGTGTTATCTGCAAACTCACTAATCAGACCACCCACATTTTCCTCCAGATCATTTATATATAACTACAAACAACAGAGAACCTAAGATTGATCCTTGTGGAATACCACTAGTTACCAGTCTCCATTCTGAAAAACACCCTTCCACCATACCCTCTGTCTTCTATGACCAAGCCAGTTTTGTATCCATCTACAACAACAACAACAAAAACAAAGTTGCTGGAAAAGCTCAGCAGGTCTGGCAGCATCTGTGGAGGAGAAAACAGAGTTAACGTTTCGGGTCCGGTGACCCTTCCTCAGAACTGATGGTGGCTGGGAAAATGTCAGTTTAGGTGCAGAAAATAGGGAGGTGGGTGGGGTAGGGAGTAAACGATAGGATAGAGCCCAAAGAGAGAGAAAGACAGTTGGACAGACAAAGGAGTTGCTAACGATCAGGCTGGGAGGGTGAATAGTTGTTAATGGGGACTGTTAGTGACTAACAACAGGGGGTGGCAGGCTATGTCGTACAAGGCCTGGTGTGTGGGGTGGGGTCTGGGACATGGGAGAGTTTAGGCCCTAAAATTATTGAACTCAATATTGAGTCCGGAGGCCTGTAGGGTCCCCAAGCGGAAAATGAGGTGTTGTTCCTCCAGCTTGCGTTGGGCTTCACTGGAACACTCTAGCAAGCCGGAGACAGAGATGTTGGCCAAGGAGTAAGGTAGTGCATTGAAGTGGCAGGCAACAGGTAGTTCAGGGTCTTTTTTGTGAGCAGAACATCATTCACCCTCCCACAACATTATTCACCCTCCCAGCCTGATCGTTAGCAACTCCTTTGTCTGTCCAACTGTCTTTCTCTCTCTTTGGGCTCTATCCTATCGTTTACTCCCTACCCCACCCAACTCCCTATTTTCTGCACATAAACTGACGTTTTCCCAGCCACCATCAGTTCTGAGGAGGGGTCACCGGACCCAATTCGTTAACTCTGTTTTCTCCTCCACAGATGCTGCCAGACCTGCTGAGCTTTTCCAGCAACTTTATTTTTGTTCCTGATTTACAGCATCCGCAGTTCTTTTGATTTTTATTTTGTATCCATCTAGCCTTGCTAGCAATGTCAAGAACAAAAAATAGACTTCTGTGTGGTGTCCTAATGTTGGAAAGTGGGCTAATTAAGTCCCAATAAAGTCCATTTATACCTCCATCCTTTTATTTTCAAATCCAGCTCTGAGCTGTAGTTCTTTGGTTTACTGAGAGAGGTGTAGGTGATGTTCCAGTAAGTGTCTGCCAATTCCACTCCGAAAGTGGCTTCTTCACGTAAGCCTGTACACTTAGGCAGTACCAGTGAGATAGGATAAGATGAAAGCTCAAAGGCTGCTTAAAGGCAGATCTCAGCAAATTTGGCACCCCATACAAAGTGGGAGAAAAATGTACAAGAAAGAACTACCTGGGGAGTGGTCTCAAATAATGGAATTTTTCCTTGTACCTAGAGGACTAAGAACAAAAGACACAAGCTAGAAAGATCAGTTGCAAAAATGACAGACAATTAATTTTCACCCATACAGTGAAAAACCATGCAGATTTGCAATCAGCCTCCACAGCCATGTTAGAACACACAATGGATAATTATGCACGCACAAAAAAAACAGCCATCTTTGATAACAAAAGGAAAACATTGATGACCCAAACCTGTGGTAAATGGATTTGGCTCTAAGTGTAAACTGCAACCCCTTTCCTAATGAAATTGGAACATATCCATGTGCTCACACATGATGATAGTGGATCAGTGCCAAGAGATGATTAAGTTAATACTCTCTAAAGCCAGATTAATTAAACACATAGTTTCTGAGCTTCCTACCATAGAAAGGTGTTAATGTTTTATTGTCTTGGCTGCTTGAACGTCTAATTTACCTTACTCCTCTGAATTTATGTGCATGGAACGGTGTTAAAATTTGAATAAATTGCATTCTTTTATCTTTATTTTATATAATTTTTTTCTTTCGCTTATACAGAGTAGCAGCATGTCTCTGGAAAGCAGTGGTTCCTGTGAGTGGCTAGATTTGGATGGCGAATTCAACTTCTCCCCTCCTTATGTTTTATCTCCTCTCATGCAAGCAAGGTAGGAAATTCAGTGGTGAGAACATCCAATTGAATACTGGCATATATAAATCACATAGAAATTCACTATCAAGTCTACAATCAGGGAATTGGAGTGAGAAAATTGGAGCTTTTAGACACAAAGGAAAGGCCATTTTATTGAACAACCTCAATGTTACCCTCGCCATCCTCAGCCCAACGCCTCAACACCTTTGAAAATGATAAATGCAAGAATGAGTTGGCACCTTGATTTGTTTTGAAGCTGAATGAAATGAATATTCAAAATCCCATATAATTTTTCAAATGCTATTGTCATGCCAGAAATGGACTTGCTTTTCAAGTTCAGCTTAACCTCATTGTTAACTGAGGTAATTAAGTTTTCCTGCGGATTTGATTTTTGAACTTGCCTGAAAAACACAACTGACTATATCTTAAATGAATGTTTTTTCTGCAAAAGTATTTATTTTTAACTGATATTTATTTAACTACTAAAATAATTCTAAATGTTAGTGTTAATTGCTAAATGGTTAAATTGTTCCCCTGTGTTTCAATATTAGTATTGAGGTTAAGGCTACGTGAATTTAATTGCATGTGTTAAGCATTAGGACTCAAAATTTTACACAGTGCGATTGCAGAGCTGACCAGCATTCAGATAACATATGTTGCTAGTTTAAGAATTATGCTAATACTGGGTAAACTGCATTCTGTTATGATTTGCATGTATTTTTATTGATTTTGCAATAAATTGCATTTATTTGGTGCTTTACTGTACTAAAACATCCCAAGAAATTTCATAGGAGTTTTATGAAACAGAAAATTGACATTAAGCCACATAAGCAGATAGGATAGATGAGCAAAAGCATAACCAGAAACGTGGATTTAGGGGAATGCTTTACAGGAGGAGACAAAGAAGTGAACAGATATTGGAAAGAAATTTTAGAGTTTGGTGTCTGAAGACATAGTCATCAGAGATGAATTGTGGAAACTGGGGATGCCAGAACAGCCAGAATTGATGGAACTTGAGGTCCTAGAGGTTTTGGAGCAGGAGAGGGATGGGTGAGACCATGGAAGAATCTGATAACAAGGAAACTTGACACAGAATTAGACGTGATGGTTTAGTTGTTGGCTTGTCGTGCCAAAATACTGAACACCTCTTATCAAAATCACAAATGATGCCATATGTGACTGTAACATGTAATTATCCCTGTTGTCCTTTGCAATCTATTTACTGTCTTTGATTCAGTTGGCCACACCAATCCTCCTCGATTCCCTCTGCACTATAGCCTGGCCAGGTGAAACTGCAGTCACCTGGCTTCATTTTTATCTAGTCCATCATAACCTGAGTATCACCATTAGGGATTTCTCTTCCTCTTCCAACATTGGTACCTCCAAGATGCCCTCCAAGGATCTGTCCTTAGTCCATGTCCTTTTTGTCACCTCTCTGCTGCTAACAGTGGTATCACCTGAAAACACAGTGTCACTTCTCATGTAGACTGATGGGATTCAGGTCTACTACACCTTGATCTCTCTTAGGGCCCTTCACAGCCTCTAAATTATGGATTCCAGCATCTGCAGGTTTTTTTTGTCTCTGTATAAATTATCAGACTGTTTATCTGACACCCAGTACTAGATGAACTAAAATTTCTTTGAACTGAATGTTGAGAAGATCAAAACCATTTGATCCCTATCACAAATTCTGTTTTCTAGTCACTGACTCAAATCTTACTTGGCATCTGTATGAGTGTGAGGCAGACTGTGCACAACCCTAGTGTCATATTTGACCATGAGATGGAATTCTAATCACATGTTCTCCCCATCATTAAGACCATTTTTCCATCTGACTGACATCACCAGCCTCCTCATTCAGCTTAAGCACCACCAAAACTCTTGTTACCTCTAGACTTGACTATTCCTGTTTACTCTTGGTTGTTGCCAATGTCTTAACTCACACAAAGACTACACACCCATCCCTGTGCTCACTGACCAAAAATCATTTGTGGCTTTACTCCTCCTCCTCTCTGGAATCTCCTCTAGTCTCCACGACCCCCTCAGATCTCTGCACGTCTCTCAATCTGGCCTCTTCGAACATCTCCAAATTTAAATATTTCATCATTAACAAAGATCCTGATGAAATCAACCAGGCCTTTGTTACTTTCTATCATCATAGAATCATAGAATCCCTACAGTGTGGAAACAGGCCCTTCGGCCCAACAAGTTCATATGCCCCTCAGAGCATCCTACCCAGGCCCATCCCTCATAACCCACACATCCCTGAACACCATGGGCAATTTAGCATGGCCAATCCACCTAGCCTGCACATCTTTGGACTGTGGGAGGAAACCCACGCGACACAGGGAGAATGTAAAAACTCCACATAGACAGTTGTCTGAGGGTGGAATTGAACCCGGGTCCCTGGCGCTGTGAGGCAGCAGTACTAAACACTGAGCCACCATGCTGGTGTTTTATACTGTTTAAGTTTGAATTACTTCATTTCTTTTGTTGTAATTTCCATTCAATCTTGAGCTCACTCGTGTGTGTAAAGTGTTAGCATTAGTTATTGAATTCAACTTGATTGCTGCTTTCTAGGCTCACTGGTTCAAATTGTGTATTGTTTTAAAGCAGTTATTTGTGGGGAGCATGCAGATCAGACAGTTGAATGGGCTAAGTTTTCACTCTAATCTCAGATCAACTCGTCTGTTTGAGAATGGGGGGGAAAAGTATTGCCATAAATAAATAATGGTAACAGTGAACTGAAACTTTGCCTAAATATAAAATAATGTGCAGAGGCTGCTAAATTTGGTAGTAGTTTATGCAGATTTGTGTTTCCTACAGGGTCAGTATTTCAATTCAACATCCTAAATTGAAACAAAGTAATTAAATGGAGCTGCAGCTTTATAAAGTCCCTTTTTACAGAAAGGTTCCCCTCCACGCTACACACCATCCAGACTTGGAACTGTATACTGTTCCTTTGCTGCCACCATGTCAAAAATCCTTGAACTTCCTCTCTCACAGCAATCTGGGGTCTCTGGAATAGCTTGCCCAAATACCAACCATGTAATTATTGTTAACGATCACAAAACCACATATTCTTCACTAATGTCCTTTAGGGAAGGAAACTGGCCCACATGTAAATCCAGACCTACAGCAGTATAGTTTATTATTAACTGTCCTCTGGGCAATTAGGGATAGAACCACATCCTACGAACATATATAAAATATATAAAATAAAATTCTGAGGGCAGGAGCATAACCACTACTTAACAGTACCCTGGTTTGTGGTGGTAATGACTCTTAAAGCATATGTCTTATATAAGAGAAGTCCCTCTCCAAGGAGAACTGCCCAAGGATATTTCTTTCCTTGTGGTTGTCCTGAATTGCCATTGAAATGACCTTTGATAGGTTGAGAGGGCACAAGCTTTAAATGTAATCAGTGGGAAGTTTTGCTATTCAGACCAGGAGTAGGCCACAGTGTGATACCTCTGCAGCCCACTTAACTTTCTGTTCTAATTAGAAATGTATATTTATATATCTACAGGGAAAAGATTATCACTAGGACAAGTCAGGGTCGTCTAACCAAACTGACGTGTTGAATTTTACAGCTTTGAACATGATAAAGAGAAGGATGAAGAGATGGAGCTAAGTGAAACCAGGTGAGAAACTACCCCAAACATTAGAAATAAACACAGCAAGCCTGGCAGTATCTGTGGAGAGAAAACAGCGTTAACATTTCCAAGACCGGTATGACTCTTCTTCAGAACAATTGGTCTTTGTTTTCGAGGGACTTGGAAAGGTTTGAGCTGAAACTTATAAAAAATTATTATTACACAGAATGGACTAACAGTAGGGGAATTCCAGAATTGAGGAGCAAGCAGGGCATAGGTAATATTGGAAGGATTTTGCAGGGTGAAAACGTAGTGATATATTTGGGGGCAAGGGCAGTGGCTGTTGGCAGGACTCTCCACCTCTCAATATTAGGTCTCTTGCTTAGGCACTGAATGTCTTTGATTGAGGAACCCCAAACTAGTGGGTGCACTGCATGTTGACATGCACACCCTCAGCTGGGCTGAAAGCAGCAGTGAAGGGATGAAGGCCTCACGTGGTCACTCATTGGTTACTTGCGTCTTAGCTGCGGCAGGGCTTAAATATGCCACCATCTCACCTAATTAAATAGAGTCATAGAATCCCTACAGTGCAGATAGAGGCCATTCAGCCAATCGGGTCTGCATTGACCCACCAAAGAGCATCCCACCCAGACCCACTTCTCTCCTCCCCCACACCCCCAACCCCAACCACCATCCCCCACCCCTTCCCATAACCTTGCATTTACCATGGCTAATTCACCTAACCTGCACATCTTTGAACTGTGGGAGGAAACTGGAGCACTCGGAGGAAACCCAGACAGACGCACAGAGAATGTGGAAATGCCAAACAGACAGTGATCCAAGGCTGGAATTGAACATGTAAATCTGACAAAGTGCTCCATTCCAACATCTGGGAGCATGTGCTAAAATCTGAAGAGCTATCCCACAGACCTGTTACACACATCCTGATATTGTCTAAAGATATGTTACAGTGAGTATTACACCCTCACCATCATCCCTGGATATATCCTGTCTCATGTGGCATAGGAGCAGAATTAGGCCATTTGGCTCATCGAGTCTGCTCTGCCATTCGATCATGGATGATATGTTTCTCTGCCCCATTCTCCTGCCTTTTCACTGTAACCCTTGATCCCCTTTCCAATCAAGACCTATCTATTTCTGTCTTAAAAACACTTGGCCTCCACAGTGCTCTGCAACAATGAGTTCACCACCCTCTGACTGAAGAAATTCCTCCTCATTTCTGTAGCAGGACAGACCAGAAGAGGTGATGGCATAGTGGCCTGCAATTGGGAGGGAGTTACTCTGGGCAGCCTCAACATTGACTACAGACCTATTACATTTTCCCCAAATTATGGTGCTCTGAACTGTGTCTAATGAGACTTCTGCACAGTTCTAACATAGCATTATTTGTATGCTATCTCCTTGAATTATGGTTAAGATTCCTACAGTCTTTTGAAATTTCTTTTGTATCTGTTCACTAATTTTTAGTTGTTTCTGTACTTGATCCCCTAATTGTCTTTGCCCATCTGCATTACCTAGCTCTGGTCATTTATACAATACTCTGATGTTGAATCCTAAGTGGACATTTCCTCACTCCTGGTTTTCCCACTTATCGATGTTCTGAGGCAATGATGGTGACAGTCTCGAGAAAATAATGCAAAAGTTCATCCTAAATGCTGTACTGTCTCAAACTGTTACTGAAATTAAACCAATCTTTTAAAAAAGAGAATCATTTAAGGCATCTCCTCCCAGGGTTTTCAAATAATAGAGTGGACATAATATAATGGGGCTTCTTGGAGCAGAAATGAGTCATGTAGGGGTATTTAATTATGTAGGTGAAAGGTCAGATTCTCAATGGTGAAATAACACTTGGGAAGTAACTCGGCCACTGATTAAAGGGAGTCTATGATTTTTGTTGGCAAGCGGCAGAAATCTATTATTAATGTATGAACAGACAGTTGATTGAGGGCAATGGAGGGAATGGAGGTGAGTGATAGAGCTTGCAGGATGATGGCTTACAACCCTAGAGATTCAAGTGTGGCAGGTGGGAATGTGGTGGCAGCAGTTCAAGTTTAGAGACCTCTCTGATAGAATGATGCTGCTGCCTGCAGAAAGTGAATACCTGTCTCCAGTAGGGCACTTAGACCTTTGCCCAGTGAGATCTGACATAACTGATTTACCCCTTCACTCAGCATAGCTAGTTAGCTGCCAGTGATTGCATACAGCCATTTCTAAGTAGATATCCTGCTCCCACCCAGTCCCACCATCAGGATGTTCACTGCTCCAGCAAGACTCTGCCCAGTGGAACAGTAGAACTCAGAATGTCACCTAGTGAGAGGCCACATTGCCTGTGCAGGCATGATGGGCTAAATGGCCACTCTCTGCGGTTTAAGGTTGTGTGATAAATGCAATTTGCTCAGTCACCCTTAAGCCAATGTAAGAAATAGGAACAGGAATGGGCTGTTCAACCCTTGAGCCTGCTCTGCCAATCAATAGGATCATGGCAGATGTTGGCATTCTGCTCTACCTGGTGTTTCAGCTGGTAACCACAATGCTCCTAATATTGAAATGTTTATAGTTGATTAGTCCTTCTAATCTGGATCTACTTATAAAATGTATGATATACAAACTGAAACTGCAACAGATGTGTGAGGCTGCAGTAATAACACTCCATTATCTTAATGATGTGGACCGCATGGCTGTCCCAGTTGTGCATTGTTGAGTTCTTGAATTTATTTTGAGCTGTTTCTCTGAGAGATTTGTTTGTTATTACGTACATTCCTCCCCTGTATAAAATCTTGCTATGGCATTTGCTTGCACTATCATCTGGTGTACTTCAGAGTAGTTAATTCCACCTAAAGTCCTTTGGGATATATTGAAGAGGTATATTAAAGCACTGTGTCTAAATGTTTTGAATATGTAGATTTATTTTTACTTAGATTGCTGGAACCTGTCATTGGAAACTTGAATGCAGACATTTGCTGTGTTTGCTTTAATTGATGTCAGTGTAAATCAGGGAGGATAAGAATGGTACTGGCACAGGCTTGGAATAGCACCATAAAAACCGAAAGAACTGTGGATGATGTAAATCAGGAACACAAACAGAAGTTGCTGGAAAAGCTCAGCTGATCTGTCAGCACCTGTGAAGAAAAAAATCAGAGTTAATGTTTTGGGTCCATTCTGAGGAAGGGTCACCAGACCTGAAACGTTAAATCTGATTTTTTCTTCACAGATGCTGCCAGATTTGCTGAGCTTTTCCAGCAATTCCTGTTTGTATTCTTGGAATAGCACCAGTCTGAACTAATTTAGCGTCCTGACTGATAGAACACTTCAAACGACCAGCAAGAAAGATATTGAGACTCGGTTCCTTAAAAGGGCCAGTATTGCTATCAAGGTGTTAATGGGTTAACTACACTAGTAGAGAAATAGTTTATATTGTGCAGTTAGAACTTACAATTACTTATGCAGTAGAAATCTTCTTGTTTACTGCAAAAGTAAATGCAAGTTCTAACTGTCCAATACAAACATTCTGTGATTGTTTCTTTGTAAAGTTGGAAAATTAGGGGACTTCAGGTTTAATTATGCCTTTACCAAGCAGTGAGCTAGTCAGCGATAATGTTCTACCTGTGTTGCTGTCTTTGATCAGAATCTAACTGTTGATGTACAGTCTCTATACTACCACCTTAAACTTGCAAATACTCTATAGTGTATACTTTACATTTTTGAGATTGAATTACTGCACTTAAATATGAAAGAGCAGAAAGAGGGAGAGCAGAGAAAAATAAAATAAAAGGAGTATATTGATTGGAAAGGAGTAACTAATTATAGAACAGAGTTTTAAAATGGTTAAATTGGGAGCAAATACTATTAAAATTAGTTTAAATGTCAATACACACGCGATCTGTAATAAAACAAGCGTAATTGTGCCTTAGGATGAATTGGGCATAGTAAGGATTACTGAGGCATCAGGCAGGGTTATATACGAAAAGAGGAATCCCCACACATCCCAAAGTAAATGTCTGTGATGAGCTCACTTCCAGCTGGTGTGCTTGCGTCAGAGTTCATCACCCAGCAATGGAACTACTATAGCCTGTCACAGAGATGACACTGCCCTGTGACTGTACACAATGGACAGAAAGAAAGCATCTCACAATTCCGAGGGATCTTGACTAATTAAGGCTTTCCTTCCTTTCACTTGCTCCCATAGTGGGAAAATAATTAAAACATTGTGTGGTTTTTGCGTTGCAGCTTGCTGGAGTGAAATGTGCTTTGAGATGGGATTAAATGTGCTATTCCCTTACTGGAATGATTAGACTCTCATTTAAAGATGAAATGCTGTGCCTGCTGCACACTAACCCACAGGTGAAGAATCATACCATACCATATTACAGCCTGCAATCCCTGGCCTTGGTTCCAAGTCTGAAATAGAGTCATAGAACTGTACAGCACAGTACAGGCCCTTCGGCCCATGATGCTGTGCCGAACTTTTACCCTAAACCAAAGGTCTATCTAACCTCCACGCCTACCTGATACGATCATCCATATGCCTATCTAATAGCTGCTTAAATGCCCCTAATGAGGCTGACTCCACTACCCTCTCCGGCAATGCATTCCACACCCCGACCACTCTCTGAGTAAAGAACCTACCTCTGACATCTCCCCTATATCTACCTCCACTCACTTTAAAACTATGCCCCCTCATAATAGCTACCTCCACCCTAGGAAAAAGTCTCTGGCTGTCCACTCTATCTATGCCTCTGATCATTTTGTACACCTCTCATCGTTCGTCGTTCTAAAGAGAAAAGCCCAAGCTCTCTCAACCTTTCCTCGTAAGACCTTCCCTCCATTCCAGGCAACATCCTGGTAAATCTCCTCTGCACCTTTTCCAATGCTTCCACATCCTTCCTGTAATGAGGCGAGCAGAACTGGACACAATACTCCAGATGTGGCCAAACCAGGGTTTTGTCTAGCTCTCCAGATGTGGCCGAACCAAGGTTTTGTCATAGTCATAGAGTAATACAGCATGGAAACAGTCGTTTCGGCCCAAA